CCCCCCACCAGGGGGTTTTCTGCCCTTGTGGGTAGTTTGGCCCTTGCGCTCCAATGTGGCCACAGAACTCGTTTAGTGGTGGGGTATGGGCCTTCGGGCCTCCCCCACGCCGTGCCCCTTTGGGGCACGGCAACCACAGAAAAACAAAAACAAACTATAAGGCCGAATTTGTAGATCGCAATGTGGCTGAAATCGGTTGGTCTTTAGACGTAGTGAGGCGCATCGATAGTATCGATGCCAAGCTCACGCTCGTCGAAGAATTAACGTTCGATTTAGAAGGTACATACACAGAAATGCGCGACACTTGGGACGTCCATTTCCGGCGATACATTTCGCCACTTCTTTATTTAGCGCGATAGCTCGAGATGGTCCTCGACAAGTTACGAGAGCAAGCTTCTAAACAGAAGACTGGTAAAACGCTATCAAGAAGTACCAAATGTCTTCATGTATTAACTCAGTTAGCTCTAAAAATTAGAGATTTAACCGAGTTTGACACTCGACATGTGAAACAAGATGTTACTTATGATGAGGAATATGAAGATGGAGCTGAAGATGATCGAGCACATTCGATTAAACTTCCTCTTGCTCGACCAGCATGGCGCTTTTCAGCAGCAGCATTTCATGGCGCTTCTAGAGTTCAAGACATGGACCGGCGCAATGATAATGAACGCAATGAATGAATGAATCTCGGCCCCTGAACTTCCTAGCTACCACTCAGCAAAGAGGTCGCCACAAAGGTAGCCATCCCAAATTTCAGCTGGAGTGGTCATGATTTTGCAACCAAAGGAAGGTCGGTTAATTCTTCCAAGGTTGGATGGCACAAAGTGAATTTGAAGCGACTCCCTCCAGTGGTCAGGAGGCCGAATAGGAATCAGCCTCCTCCAATGGAAGGAGCAGCTACCTCGGTCTGGAGGACTGAGGTGTATTTTATCACGTGTGACAAATTTTTGCGCTTTAGGATTCTCGGCCCCTGAACTTCCTAGCTACCACTCAGCAAAGATTTGGTGGTTTTCGGATGGACAAAACCACCACTCGGGATTTGGCCAAGCAACTACCGTAGTTTTGATAACCTAATTTAACCTATCTCATTTCGTTCTAATCTATCCTAACCTGAATTAGAAAGTTTTATTACTGACAGAAAAAAGGTTAACGTATTTTGCAGACCAATGCTCTCGAGTAAGTATACAAAATTTCATGCAACTCTATTGAGCCATTTTGTATAAGTTAGATTTGTTACGTTATTAGCTACCACCTACCACTGAGCAACAATTTGGTGGTTCTTCATGGATAAAACTGCCAGCAGTTTTAAGTAGATATATTTCCTGTCACTTAACCTCTAATTTTTCCTCCAAGCCTTAGCTTACAGGGAGACGTAAGTTACTAATTATTCCTTTGATTAATAGCTAACTGAACTTCCTCCTGCGTCGTGTGTCTTCCGACGGCAGGTTAAAAATCTTTTTTTTATTCAACAAATTTGGACCCAAAATAAACAAGCTTCTTGAGCTTAACTTTGGTCCAAACACTGTTTACGTCTAACCTTCATTTGGGGGGTAATTTATAGCTGGTATTCCGTAGGTTTGTTCTAGAGCGAGAGTCGCATCGGGTCGCAGCAAATTAGTTGCGTG